TGAACAAAGGAGGGAGTGGCGGTAGGTTGATAACATTCCCTCCAGTATAGGGTTGAAGGGGTGCCTGAGAGGCGAGGGCTCCGGAATTGAGAGCCATGTTTTGAACAAAGGCCGCAAAGGCAGCCTGAAGATCGATGGCCGGGGCCGGAGGGGGAACTTGGTTCTCACTCCGATCCCTCCTTCGATTATCAAGGCCAATGCGGGCATCAGGGGCGTTCCTCTGTAGCTGCTGGCAGAGGTCAGCAGTAGCCTGCTCCAATTCGAGGATGATACCACCCTCGGGTACCAAGAGCCTGTTGGAGGCCTCAGCCCCGTTAGTTTCGCCGGGGGCTACGTGGTTCTCCTCCAGAGTTTTGGATTGGGCACGAGTGGTTCTTCCCATTTTTTAGGTAAGTGTTTTGTATTTGGTAGAAGGGGAGGGTTTCTTACTTGATAGTTCAGACCCTCTCAACGAGAGCACCAAATGATAGACAGTCTACCCGGGGGGGTGTCTTATCCGAGGGGTTATTGCGCAAATAACTAGAGAGAAGTCAGAGCAAAATAGGAGGAGAGAGAGTCGATTTATTAAATGAACTCAAGGTGTGAGAGTTGGGGTGTGGTTGTCGATTACAAGGAGAAATGGGCTGCTATTTATAGCAGCAATAAATGCGATGAGAGTACACGTGTCAGTAATCCAACGGCCGAAGGGTCACATCAACCGGGTGGCACCGGCAGTGGTACGTTCACCGCATTGAATGCGGTTGGCGGATGCGACGTGGCATTAAATGCGGTGGTTGGCTGTCTCTAAAAGGAATCTTCGATGATTGAGAATGTTTGGCCGAAGGCTCCTTGTGTGGCCGAGGGCTCCATGTAGCCAAGGACCCCTGTGTAGCCGAAGGCCCCGAGTGGCAGAGGGCTAAGTTCAGCCGAAGGCTCCCCTAATGCCGAGGGCTTGGTAATGCCGAAGGCTCATGTTTTTTGCCGTTTTCTCCCAGTAGCTTCGTACGTCGGAGAGGGCTACTTTGTGAGTTTCTGGAGCCTTCGGCCAAGGAGGCCGAAGGCACCCCAGTGTGTATTCTGGGCTACTTTGAGGCTTGGGCCGTTGTATTTGGACCTGAGTCACTTCCTGAGCCCAATGGACGTGTGTAGGAGAAGTAGGAGTCCATGGGCCGGGGGTTCCTGGTCCATATACTCCATCACTTCTCAATTTACAGGTGTGAGACTTTATCACCCCTCCTCACGACCAGACATTTTTTTGTTTTGGATCGTGTCGTCATTCATTTTTTTCGTCGGTTCGTCATTTTCATTTTTTTTAATCGTGTCGTCATTTTTTCATAAGGGGACCTACACCATGGATCGATCTGGCTTTGATACCATGATAAGACATGAGCTTCAATCCTAAAAGGTCAACCTGTTAGGAGGAGTAGCCCGGAGCTTAATATAGCACTCTAATGCTTCTCAATTTACCGGTGTGGGACTTTATCATAGACGATTTGTACTTGAAAAGTCATGAGTTTTATTGTTAGATTGGTTATACATAAACAAGTCACTTGTGAACATATCTCAAAGTTGAAATTATAGAACTTTCGTCCCCCAAACATTGATACAGAGTATATGATGCAGATACAGAAAAGTGAATTTGTGTGATTGATTCATATTGAATTGATAAAGTGAAAATATAGTAAGAAGGATTTTGAACCACACAAATATGATCTCCAAATTTGGTATAAAATCTTAGTGAGATAGACAAAAAAGGAATGACGAGACAAAATAAATTGTATTCAACTTATATACAATTTGTTGGGTACTCTTTTGAACAGAAGACTCCAGCCCTATTATGGATTATTATTGTCATGTCATTTTCACATAAGAAAATCTCAAATAATCTTCAACCCTATTAATTTCTCCTCATCCATATGGGACGGTATCAAATTTGATACAAATTTGATCTTAATAATCTCCCACGCCCTTGGTGATTTGTTTATGAGATATACACTCAATTTCAAAATCTTTAACTTAAATGCACTTAAATGCACTCACATGCACTCCACATGGACACACTATATATATTACTACATATATTTAGTACGTACACTATTATATTACACACATATTTAGGTACACTATGAGATATAAAAAAATGTACCATTCTATATACTGATGGTTTGATGTCTTGGAAAGTATTGCTACGTACGCATGTATATATAGTATATTATTGGGTTCACTATATTTATTATTGGGTTCACTATATTTATAATGCTATAGTACTATATTATTACATATATTACTATGTACACCGTTATAAATTTTTGTATCTAATACTATATATTTTAATTTATAAAATTTCAATAGATGGCAAAATATATATTAGAAACATTTAACAGAAGAGTAGATATACAAATAATTTAATTATTTAAAAATTATAGCATAAATGAGAACTACATAAATAGTAAAGCATAAATATATATCATCACACTTTCCCCATTTTTCCTTTGGTTCCACTTATTGTTGAACTTTGCTCCACACTTATTTGTTTCCTTCAACATTGCATTGTAGTGTTTTTTTTACTTGAGTCGTGTTTCTCTCCGTCGTTTCGTCTGGTCGATTTTCATTGTAGTAAATTCGAACACGGTCCAAAAATGTATTTCTAAATTGATTGTTTCAATTAGATGGATCTTCACTAATCATTTTCCATGCCATTGCAACAACAACCTCTTCACCCACTTCCCACTTCACATATAATTGCTTTTCTTTGAACTATCAACGTTGGGTTCATCCTCCTATCCATATTCTCGTTGAGACCGATATTATTTGGCTTTGTTTGTGTGGAGAAAGGCGGAAATTGAGTCTCTTGGATAGAAGATTGTGTTTCTACCTCTTGCCAAAACGAACAAGTATCAACATTCTTCTTTGATTCACGGCGAGGAATTTGAGTCTCTTGGATGGATATATGACTATGAGGCATATTAAGAGCACCATTTGTAGACCAATATTCTCCTCCCGGGACGTAACATGGAAGTGTAAATATATTGTTGGATCCGTTTGAAAAATCACCGGAAGCATGAAAAATTGGAAAATTGGGTGGATATGGAAATGGAAATTTTGGAAAATTTTGAGGCATTTGAGGAAATGGAGAAAATAGAGGTCCGTTTGGAGAATTTTGTGAATAAGACTGATCAAAATTTCCCATGGAGTTTATGAAATTCTTAGAAAAGCACTATTATTTGAATCCATGTATGAATTTTCTAAATGAAAATGAGACAGAAAGTAGATAATAAAGTGTTTACAAATCAAATAGATGCATATTTATACACAATAGTCTCCACATTACCGCTGCACTTCAATTGCAATTGGATTTTGAATTTCAAAAGTTGCACTTCAATTTAATTGGGTTTGGAAGTTTTGTTTTGGGGAAAGAAATAGATTATATTAGATGTATTAGAATCAACCAAAACATAGCAACAACCATACCCCAAACTCTAGATCAGACAGAAATAGAATAGTCCATCTCGGAAGGAGCGAGAGTAATCGCTGAAACGGTGAGAGCATAGAGGCTATTAGCGGCTGAATCAACCTGATTGCCTTCAAACAGAAATATATCAACTGAAACAATCCAAAGACCCAACCTACCCCCCTTATTGTTTGTCACAAAACTAGCAAAATAGAAATAATAAAACAGTCTGAACCGAATATATAACAAACAAGAAAATGTAAAAGAGTCTTCCGAACCCTAGTCACATAGTTCCTCCATGGCAGCGTACGGGAGGGGGGCGGATCATCATCTCTTCGTCCTCTTTCTCCATCACCTGAATATGGGATTCTCCACTATTGTTGTTGCCGATCAAACATGACCAAGAGCCACTCGTTCACGAACAAAATGTATATCCATTTCGATAAGCTTGGTGCGTTGATGTTGGACCGGATTCTGGGACATACAGATGGCACTTACGTTGTCATAATCAACATGGGAAGCTTTGGAGATTGGATGACGAAGCTCAAGTAAAAGATTACGGAGCCAACACAACTCGGCCACAACGTTGCCCATGCCACGGTATTCCTGCGCTACACCCGAAGTTGCAGCTGTGTTCCTCTCCACACTCGTCGGTGCCTGCTGCATACCTTTAGCAATCCAACAACCCATCCTCACACAAAGAAGCCGCCAAAAACTCACGCAAGAAAACGCCTAACCTCGTAACCCTAGAAAGCTCTAGGTGCGGCCGTCTGCTTTTTTTGCTTCCTTTGATACTAGAGTTAATAAAGATCTTAATTGAGTTTGGAAGTTGAACTTATGTAGTGGCAATAGTGCATGCAGTCTTAAACTTTTCGTATCTTTTGAAGTAAGCGCATGCACGAGCTAGACAACTAGTCATCACCTTAATTATGAGTATACCTAGAAAATTGGGAGAAAAACTAAAAGTTGGAAATAATCTTCAAATAATCCAAATTTAGAATTTGATACCAGATTTTTCATCAAATAATCTCTTTAAATAATCTCAACATGTCAATCATAATCTCAAAAAATATCATCCACATCATCAAAATAATCTCTAAAAACTCTATAGATGAGGATGCTACCAAATCTCGTGATAAGTATGGAAGTATACGTTTTATATCCTTTGTCTATTTAGAGGATCTTTAGGAATCTTTTCTTCCTTCTTTGATACAAGAGAGCCTACATGGATAAATACGATACTTAAATCAATTGGAAAACGTTGTTTAAATCCAATTTATTATCTCCGTCCCTATATAAACTACTCCCTCCCGTTCACATTCTTTTTTACAGTTTCCTTTTTTGTTAGTATCAGATTCATCTTTACACTTCTTATTTTACCCATGAAATCCCATAAATATCCCTCCCTCATAATACTCCTATTTACTACCCACCCACCCAACTTACGCATTAAACCCCCACCGCCCCTCTTTATTCGTTCTGTCTGTTATCCCTCTGACCTTCTTTCTTCTCTCGTCCTCCCACCCCATATCACTCTCATCTTCGTCCTCTCCACCATACTCCTCTTCACCGCACCCCTTGTCCTTGCATAGTTGCCCCCTTTTGATCTGTGTTCGTCTCCGGTTTAATGGATGTTAAAGCCACCTCTACTCACACCGGTGGTCTTCAACTAGGAGATGCAGTGGAGGTGAAGTCGCCACTTGAGTACTCCGACCACCCCCGATCTGAACCACATCTTTCAGATCTGAAAAGTGTAAAGTCCATTCGAATTTTGGATCTGAAAAAAAAGGCAAGTTCCCCACGATACACCCTTAATTGGATCTCGAATTTTACTCCTTCTTTAAAAACACTAATCTTCCACATGCAATGTGTTTTGCAGCCTTGGGTAAACCCAGTGATCGTTCGGTTCAGTGATTGTTCCACTGAAACAGATCCTTATTGGCGGTTGAGGAAAAAGTACGGCTCCAACCTGGTGAGTGACACGTTCGAAGGGCTGGATGGCTTGGAGGACTCAGGGGATGACGCAACCTCCAAATATTTTGAGGGTGAGGAGCCATATGGGGTTGGTGATTCCGCTGACGAACTGTTTGCAGACACTCCTCCTTATACTCCAAAGGGTTAATTATACGGGCATTATTCTCTGTCTCTGTACTATCCTTATTTTTTTTTACTTAAGTGATGAGTAATTGCATGTTTGTTGCCTAAGGTGTATAATGTGAAAACTAAGGATGAGTTGGGGTACTGATTATGAAATTGTCGCTTGTGAAAAATGATGACTCAATATATTTTGTTTGATTGAGGCTGAAAACCTGTGTTGCCTATTGCTTTTGTGCTATTCTGTATGCCCAAAATGTGTTTGTGCATTGCAATTGTGTGTGCCTCAAATATGATGAAATACTTGTGCAGCCCACTTATGAATGTGTAGGAGGCCTAGTTTGTAAATCATATTTGGAATTGACTTGCTTACAATAATTAATGTACAACCATGATCTAGGAAGTACATCAAAAAAGGTACTTTCAACAGTGTGAAGTACATACAAAAATTGTACACCTACTTGCTTAATCATCCCTGTGTACATATAAAAAGTTGCAAAAAAACATGTCTTGTCTTTTTTAGATAGGCAAGTCAGAGATAAAGATCTTGATAATCTTCATCCATGAACTCTGTCCCTGTCACAACACTGCTTGTAACTACTGTGTTTGTTGCCATCTGCCCCTCCATGTGTGCTTTAGCTATGATATATACTTCCTCATCAATCTGGACATTCTTGGGCAAAAGACCTTGCCTTTCCGATATGTCCTTCCCAACATGTTTAAGTCTGTAATTGTTTCCCCCATTGTGCTTCAGAATTTCCTCCATTACATATCGAAAGCTTAAGAAAACTTTGTTTAGGGTGTGAGCTGTGAGATCATTGAATGCACTTTGGACTGCTTGTATCAAGTCATTGATATTCTTTGGTGCATTCTGATCTTTCAGAGAATCAATTGCCCTAAAAAAACCTAAATCCAACACATTCAAATCTGGGCTATTGGGTGGTTGGCAACGCAACTCAATGTTCCATCCGTCTTCTTTCCCATGCTTAACAAACTCTGGATCAGTTATCAGTAAATGAGGCCTAGCATTGTCTTGTTGTATAATGACATGTTTCTTTTCTGCATCTGGCCACTTTTCTTTAATTGCAGGCAGAATATGTTTTAAGAATATGTCTTTTATACCTCCCCTAGTCACACTCATTCTTGCCTTTGTCTCTAAGGTCCCAGCTGGCCTATTCTTGATTGTTCTCTTTGCTTTGTCTTCAAAAGTAAAAGGAAAAATCCCTATTTTACCATCCCATAATACCCCCCACTGATTGTCTATTCTAAGCCTCCTTGCTGCAGCAATAAACATCACTTTTGGTATGAATTTTTTGGATTGAGCTGTTCTGTAAGGGTCCTCTTCTGTTGGAAAGGTATAAAATGTGGTGGTTTCTTTTGATAAGTAGAACCACTTCTCATCTATGTGTACATGATCATAAAAATCATGAAAAGTTGGGGAAAAGGGAAGAGAGCTCGGAATAATATGGCTTAGGCAGAACTATAACCTTTTCACCATACCCGTAGCTGTGAGAAGAGGTTTAATGGCATTAGAACGTCTCTTGATTTGTTTGCTCTTGAACCTTCTCTGCACAGTTGACTTTGACACTTGCATTGCAAATGCCAAAGACCTCATATTTTTCCTTTTATGATATGGAATTTCAGCCATTTTTGACAAGTCTAATGCAATTTTCGGGGTCCTACATTACCTGCGTATTTGGTCTGCACATCTATGGCTTGCCCAGCCTACAGTTGTGCCTTTGCTTTGCCCCACAGTGTGTGTACAGTTTGTCTTGAAGTGTTGAACTCATTTGCAACTGTTGTGATCATGCCCCTCTGAAGTTTTCCATTTATCATCTTTGCTAACAACATGTATATTATGCTTCTTCACTTTTCACTTGTAAGCTTTAAGTCTTTTGGCAGCCTACGTGTGTTATCCGTATCACTTTCATCTGCAGGAACGTGGGGAAATTCCAGCTCCATGTCCTCTTCCTCAGCTTCGGTGTGTGCCGTAAAGGGAGGCATATCTGCTAAAGGATTTGCAGCAGAGGCAGATTCGGGAGCCATATCAGGAAGCTCAGAGACAGAAGAGGAAAACTGAGCTGTCCCAGTTTCCATTTTTTGTTGGGGAGTAAAGTATGTTTACTTGGGGGAGTAAATGAGGGGTATATATAGGGTAGAAGTAATTTTGGGTGGGAAAGGTTTCTATTTTTAGCTTTTGGAGGGAATCTGAAAAATTAAACCCTTTGCAGATGTAGTGTTTTTTTAGAGGGGTACGAATTACCTTCTCTCTCTTGTATGTTGTCAGAATGTATTAACTTCAAAGTACCCCTTTATTTACTACTTTTATCCTCTTTCCTTTTAACGTTAATTACCTTTACTTTTGCAATCAAGGGTATAAATGAGAAGTCAAGTACAAACATTTAGCCACCTTAAAAATAGAAAAGTCAAAGTGTCAAGGAGAATGTGATCCGGAGGGAGTATAAAGTACTTGGGCTATAACACTTTTAATATATGTTTTGAATATATAAATTTTATTTACTAAATATAATCTAAGTATTCATAAAGATCAATCAACTTTATCGTCAATCAAATTTCGAAAGCTAAAATGAATCCTATTTCAAAGATGGAGGGAGTAATACTTTATTACTCCATTTATGTACTTCAACTTCTGATTTGCAAACTAGTTTTCATTTTGCTTTTTAAAGTCTTACATTAAAGTTTTCATTTTCCTTTTCAAAAGCTTTTATTATAAAATTGTCCGTATACCTCTATTTTATTTACTTACCTTACGCTCACTTTTTATCGCACTCTATCTAACTTTTTTTATGATATCCCACTACATCTAATGAAAAATAAAAAATATAATTCTCTTAGAAATCGTAAAGTTAAAGCGAGAATAATACGAAGTAGTAAAAATGTAAGGATTTCCTTTCACACAGGCTTCGCCTATATAATCAATGTTTGATACTTGCTTAGTTGCTTTCATCTTCTTGCCAGTTGCCACACGTTAGCTTTCTTCAACGTTTTAAACTCTGCCCTTCGTATACTATTTACATCTTCTAGAAAAGACGACCATTTTTTCCAATAAGCATATCATTGGCTTTTTGGCTTTCTCATCAATATTTTCCTTCTACAACAGTCTCCCATTCTATCAAGAAATTAAGGTTTAAAACTTTAAATATGTTTTTAGTCCTCGTAAAATATTTTCTTTGTTTTTCATCCCTCAAATTTGTATTGGTTTTATTTTTAGTCCATGACTAAAGATAACAACAACCTACGCTTGACAACGAAACAATCCCGACTAACATGTATTCTTTAATTCTTTGTCATGCCATTCAAAAAGTATTTAATTTCATTTTTTTGAAACTTTTGAAAACATATTTTAAAAATGTGAATAATTAGTTTTAGGGAAAATCGCACTTTTGGTCCCTGAAATAGTCACGAAAATGAAATGTTGGACCCGTATTTCTGATATTGTAAATGTCACCCCTCAATTGTTCAAATTGTTGTAAATGTAGTCCTTTAAGGGTGAAGTGTACTCTCGCCCATATTGGATATTTCACACCTCACCACATTTACAACATTTAGGACAATTGAGGGACGACATTTACAAACTTGGGAATACGGGTCCGACATTTCATTTTCGTGACTGTTTCAGGGACTAAAAGTGCGATTTTCCCTTAGTTTTAATTTCGTTTTAACTTTCTTATTAGTCTAAAAAAATTATAAACTGATAAATTTAAATGTTTCTAGTAGATTTATGCAACTAACAATAAAAAAAATCTAAGTCGAGTTGTTTCGGAGTTATAGATGGACTAAAACCAAAATAAAGCATATTACAGGGATGAAATACAAAGAAAATATTTTGCAGAGACCTAAAACAAAGTGTGTCATATTTGCAGGGATTAAAATCATATTTAAACTAGAAATTAAACATTCTTTTTCTAAGACGTACTATATTGGATTAAAATCATATTTGATGTAAGCATAACCAAATTAGTGCTCCTAAGAGCTCTGCGGCGTAGGAAAGTTCCAAATTCAATTTCAAGCAATGATCTGAATAAAACTTATTTTCTCTTCATCAATCAAAAAGCTCAATTTACATTCTCCGGGAAAACTGTTCCTTAGAGATGAAAGTCATTCTTTTAGTTTGGGAAAATACCCAAATAAAGGATAAGAAGGTGGCATGAATTGTGTTAATATAGTTGAATATTTATTGCATCTTCAATGCAAAAGTGTAAATGGTGGATATGTGGCAAGAAAGATGTAGACAAACAAAAAATAATACAGAGTAATTTTTAAAAAACCGTTCACATCTTTTCACGGTGCAATAGACACTAAGGAGGTGTTTACTTCGCTGCTAAAGTCACAGTTAGGTTAGTAAGACAGGTGAAGTAAACACGCACGCTGCTTAAAAACTGCTTACTAACCGAAAAAGGTGCTTAAAGTGCTGCTTACTAAGCATACCACCCCCATATATTAATTAAGCGACACTTTAAGCTTTTTCAGTTTCCGAAATTACCCTTACCCAATTCCCTCTACCCGTTACCCTCGGGGTACACGGTATACGGTGGGGTAGGGGTTAGGGGTATGGGTACATGTACGAAGTGACCCCACATATTATATTACATACTTGTGTTCATGAATGTTTGTGTGTCTATATATGTATTAATATATAGGGTTATTTTGGACATTTTAATGTTAAACGGTGTTTTAAACCCTTTGAAGTAAACATGATCTTACAACATTGCTTATTTTATGTGCCGCTTATTAACGCGGATCTTAATAAACACCGTTTAGTAATCCGTGAAGTAAATGTGTCCCAAGTTGACATTGTGTAATAACTAAATTTAGACATCATAAAAACAACAAGCATGTCGTATGAGAGCACCAAACTGAATGATATTCATCTTATAATTGTTAATGGTAGGAAAAAATAACAATCACTTCTTAATGTTAGTTGCAATCTTACAGAGATACTCTTCTTATGTAATAATCCCCTTCCATTTGTTATTTATCATTGTTCAAATTACAGACATGGAGCTATGAAAGAGTAATCTTACAAAAGCCCCGAGATTATATACAATAGTCATCTAAATAAAGTCAGGCTCTAAATACAACTACAAGGATGGGGTATGGCTTTGCTTGGGTTTTTCAGGGGGGAGTCTCTCCATCTCAAATTTATCACGTCCAGAGATGGAATCTTGGGTGCCAATTGCTGCCTGTTCATTTAGTTTTTTCTTTGCGTATACAGTAAAAACAACCGTAGTGATTATTGCAACAATGAGTGAAATAACATTCGCTATGATCTCCACAGGAGTTAGACGATGATTCCCATATTGGACATCAGCAAATGTCCTTATAAGCCTGCCACTGCAGTCAGATAACGAAAGTCTGAGATGAATACTGTGGATCATTATGAAGTGGAAAAAAATTCAAGTGTTGCAATCCATCCAATGAGGGACCTTGACTGGAAATACCAGATCCAGTTCCGGGTTATTTCTTAACCCATATAAAAAAGATACCAGAACCAGTCCTATTTTGGAAGAACAGGCCGGAGTTGGAACAGTTCTAGTCCACAACAGTTTTCTCAGTTTCAATATCCACACGTGAAAATTCTTAATGAATGGTTTGGATGAGTTTTAAAAGGATTCAAGGTTTGATCCATTTTTTGTAATCCGAATAAAAAACTATCTAGTTCATCCTATTGCCACCCTTATCCTTCTCCCACCAGAGTGGAAATTGTTCATACCAATCATACAAAGTATAGAATTATATTACCTGTAGATGTAGAGAAAAGCTTCAGGAATCATTCCTGAAATTGATCCCAACAAATATGGCCAGAATCTCATGCTTGTTACCACTACAGCATAATTAAAGATGGTATACGGAAACGGTGAAATCCGAAACAGTGTAACCACTTGAAATTGGTGAAATGAACTCCCCTCTCCCGCCAATCTGATAACATCAGCTTGTTGTGGCCATTTTTTCAGCCATTTCTGCAGAATAGAAAAAATTTGGAATAATACTAATGAAAATAATTGTAGTAATAATTGTTATAGTCATAATAAGGTGTAAGTATATGCTCAAGCATCAATCAACGTAAGCTTACATGGATCCGGTCTCGGAAAAGCAAACCAATCAAGTAAGGAAGGAGCATTCCGATGGTTGTTCCAAACATGATTAAGACAAAGCCAAGGCCATATCCAAAGATCATTCCAGCTAGCCACATTGAAGGTCCAGAAGGGACCAGAATCACTGGAAATAATGCCAATGAAGCAACAAGGATGAGTGCTAACACTGGACGGCCAAATGCAGTGGCTTCCCATTGTAAGATGGGAATCAGTACCTACAAAAACAGGCAGAGGTCAAAGGTTCAATTGACTTGAATATGATAAGTTAAGAAGAAGATTTCAAGATAGGAAGTCAATAAGAGAGAAATAAAGAAGTTCATTTTGTGCTGACAAGAAATTCACATTTCTCATCATGCTACCTTCCAAACAACATGACTTTTACTACAAACAGTCTCATTGCCCGTATATTAATTTAAGAACTTTCTTTAAACATTAGTAATTGCATACCCGGACAAAAACGTTACTAACCCTGTTACAGAAAGTCACTGGCTAGCTACGTGGTGGTAGTTGGTCATTGCCAGTTGGTAACTGTATTGGAGATATTTTTGTCCTAAACTAAAAATTAACATTTCAGTCAAGTTGGCAGTAACTTGGTAATATTTAAGGAATTTGTTCTTAATTTATATGATGAAATTAAAGCAGTTTCAAAATGTAAGCTTAGGTAGCTAAACATTGGCACAGGAATGAGTTAAATGACACACCTTCTCAAAGAGAAAAGGAACTCCCCACTTTACGAAGATCAAGAGAATCAGTATACATATAATGCACCACATAAATGCCTTGGTCCACCATTTCAGAGCTCTTTTTCTGGTTTCAAGAGGTGATTGGAAAACATATGATTCACTAACTGTTGCTTCGTCGTTTACAAATAGCCTAACATATTCACTGTCTTCTTTGACTGGGATCCCACTATCGAAATGTTTTTTCTCAAAAGCCTCAACTGGCTCTGGCATGTTATATATGTATCCTGCAAACAGAAGTGCACAAGTGGAAACTCATTAATTTCATGTTCATGCAAGGAAAGAGAGAAACCGCACACATGTTTCATGATTTCCATCCAAATCTCAGTTATTGGCTGTAGTGTGAAAAATATAAATTGTAGAGACAATTTCGGAACATTCAATACATAATCAAGTTATGTAGCTAATTTGGAGCCTTCAAATAGTAATACTGGGGTTCAGAGGAGTTACGAACACAAAATGGAACATCGCAGCCTCCTCCACACTCTACCCTGTGCAAGTTCTAAAATTGCTTTTCAAAATTATTGAAGCTCATTTCCAATTTCAAATATAGTACGTAATTAAAGATAAAAGATCTGTAAATCAATCGCTAAAACCTACACCTCCGCCGCAATTGGACTGGAAAAGAACACAGAAGCTCTAATCCCAGAGATAAAAATGAAATAATCCTGTTTTCCTTAACTTCCAGCTCACAAAAGCTCCCAGTCAAACAAAAAGAAAAAGGGAAGGAAAAAACAAGCAAAGCCAAGTGGACAAGACAGAAGGAGATCGGACCAGAAACGTGCATAGAAAAGCAGATAGAGATGAACAAATTATTACCGGAAGGTATCGATCGAAGGGGCGATGCGCAGCAGCGAGAAGCTGTTTTGGAGTTTGTTTATGAGGTTTCTAAGGGCTTGTTTGCAACCAATTAAAAAAAGTGATTTTGGCTTTTTTTAAAGAAAAAAGCACTTATTTTTCCAAACACTACCAACTTTTACTTCCTCGATTTTCGTGTAGAATCTACTTTTTACTTTTTTTATTACACAAAAAGCACTTATTTTACCAAACACTACCAACTTTTACTACTAATCACTTTTTCTCCAAAAGTGCTTTTATTTAAGCACAAGTGGTTGCAAACAGAGCCTAAGTTCTCGGCAGGAAGTAGGAATGAACTGTTGTTAGTTGGGACTTGGGAGAACGGAAACGAAGCTGCTTTCAGGTTACAGTTTTCATTTTCTTTTGACATTTTTTTTGGGTAGTAAAAGTCTTCAACAAAAACTAAGAAAGTCGTGTTTTTCTAAACACGACTAGTTGCATTTCGTAGTTAAGCGGCCATTCCGGACTCCAACCCACCCTATAATCGGCATCAAATTATTTTATAGATGAAGAATAAATTTTGTAAAAATAATGGTTTCCTGTCTAATATTATACTATCCCCGTTCCCTTTTAATCGCAACATTGGACTTTTTGGACTATTCACATATTCTACTTTGACTATATTTTACTCATTAATGTATTATAAATTAATTTTTTTAAAAAATATTATTAAATTCTTCTCATTCTAAATTTTCAAAATATGAATTTTTTGAATTTTTTACTAATAAGGAATGAAAGATATTAATGGTCAAACTTGTGCGTTGGCAAACGTGAAATGTTGACTGTTGCAATTAAAAGGGAACGGATGAAGTAATATTCTTTCCTAATCATGGCATTCACATCCATTAGATTATTTGGAATCACCTTGATGATGTGAAAGATCTTTCTGAAGATTATGGTTGAGATGATGAAATTATTCTGAAAGACATTTAGATAAAAAATCTTGTACAAATATTGAATCCTAGATTATTCAATATTATTCTCAAGTTTCAATAAACACATTTAATGCAATCATCTCTTTTAATTTGGAATGACTAAAATACCTCTTTGCAAATAACAAAAACTCCATTAAAAAACTAAATGAATAGAAATCATGATTGAGAAAGAATTAGTAAGATTTGATTTTATTTATGTGTCAATATCATGGTAAGAGAAAAATATGAAAAACTGAATATTTAAGTATTATGAATGGAAATGCTCTTACGTTATTGCCTTTTTCTTTTTATAACTCTACTTGCAAATCAATTATAGTACTCACTCTTTTTAAAAAATGCTACTCCCTCCGGTTCTAAATAAACTTCACACTTTCCTTTTTGGGACGGTCCAAAATAAACTTCACACTTCCTTATTTCCTTATTTGGCAAAGAAATCTACATCAAAACAGTGTTAAACAATGCTAAACAGTGCCAAACAGTGTCTCAACAGTGTCTCAACAGTGCCAAACAGTGTCTCAACAATGTACTCTACAGTAAAGTCAACTTTATTTCCTTAATAACTGTGAAGTCAAACACTGAAGTTTAAAAAGAACCGGAGGGAGTAACATTTTCAACTTTATTTGCTTTATTTTTTTTTTTTGGTAATATTCACGTTTATGTTATTGTTTCATTTGCCCTATACATACCATAAAATAAATTTCCTTATATCACTTGCATATCAAAATCTAAGAGTCTATTCGGTAACCTCGTTTTTTGGCTTATCAACTAACTTTTTCATCAAACACGTAACTTTTGATTTCGCTCGCTGAATTATGTAATAATAAGAAAAAGTAAGATTGACATTACTTTGATGGTTGTATTGGCTGAAGCTACTGCAGATGATCATTTTAGTTATTTTTTCATATAAAATTTTCTTAATTTTATTAATAAAAAATATTTTAAATATAATTTTTTCATAAATCAGCATAATCAGTCAATGCAGTCACTTTAGTCGGAGTTTTATAAATTTCAGCATAATCAATCAATTCAGCCGATTTCAATATTACTAAATGGGTTTTAATATGTTTGATTTTAGTTTGGGCAAATCAAAATAAATACTTGGTACTGCATATTAGGTAGCTTCAATACATTAAAGATCCGTCTTGAAACCTTGAATGAAAGATGTAATATTACATCACTTAATATGTCATGGGTAAGAGAAACAAAGATGGATGGGAAAAGAGAATATAACTTTATGCTTCTGATGTATGATTGTGTAGTTTTTGACCAGTCGCACCATAAAGAAAGCATATATATTCGACGCGATCACATTAAACGTAAAAAAGTGTATACATCTTATCAGATCATGTCACGTTTCACTTTCATAGACTAAAAAATGGTTATCATTTTGTCAAAACACATCATATATGCAATCCCATACACTACACTTCCAGGAAAATAAAATGCTCGAGCAAAAATAGAAGATACGTAGTACGAAGTATATCTCATCCACGATCCACCATGAAATTAGATTCACTATGTTGCTCATTTTAATGTCATTTGTGTAATTACAAATGAAATGAGTGACAATGGAGATTAGAATTATGATCTAGTACAAGTTAGTGAGTGTGGAATGCACACTTGTATATAAAAACAAGTTTAATACCAAAGTGTCTACGGCAGTGGAATTCCATGGAGGTAAAACTCGAGGTAGAAATAGGTAGACCAACTTTGTGCTTCTAGACCAAGGTCTAAAATGGTTGAGGTAGTTTCCTGCAGTTTCCCAGGAACTGCTACGTTTATTCCCGGCCCAAATGGGTTGTAACTGTTTGGAACGGTTTAAATGAGTATATATCTTTATATTTCGTGCAGAGAAAATAGAAACAAGATATACAAAATATCTTCATCACTTTTTGGCATTCAAATTAAAGAATACAATCCATAAGTCACTAGTTTGTGCTCTATATCTTGTGTCTAAGTTCTTGAGTGTCCGTAAGGATTATCCTAGATTCAATTTTTTATATCCAAGCATAGGGGATTAATATCAATTCAAAAAGTGAACTTACAAAATAATCTTTGTTGAAAAAGTTTATGATAATAATCCCTTATTTTTTGTCTCGGCATGTAGGCCATCCAATAAGGCAAAATCGATTTAAAAGGATAGCTGGAGTAAAGAAAAACACTTTGAAACTCCGAATCACAAATGAAGTATAACATCAAAACTCAGCACCCAGCAAAAAAATCATGTTGGGTGAATTCGGAAAAACAAAGAAATTAATTAAAATAACCAAGAAAATAGAAAACGAGAAGGACTGGAAAGCCAAAAATTGTGCAACACACAATTTCCTTAAAACATATTCGTTGCCACCCACGGTGTTAGAAGCGTTGCAACGACCGTTTCCCATAATACGGTGGCTTATGAATAACCCTTTGAGCACACAATCAGTTGTTCCGACGAACGGAAACAAAGTATGAACACTAGAGAAAATTTCAGAAAGCTAGAGGTGGTTTTAGCTCAAAACATTCGCGCTAACTGTGTTGTGTCGTGTATTATTGCAAAGCACCTAAGAGCTATGTATAAAGATAGGTTTGTTTAGTGTTAAATGAGCTTAAATGAACTTGAACATTAGACATAAATGACCATAATGTTGGGCATCAATATGTCGAAATTTGTCCATTTAAAGACGCACTAAAAGATAAAAATGTTGGGCAATTGCAGCAATAAAGGTTGCAACGGTTCAGAACCGTTCTGGTGCGCGACCAGAACATAACCGTTTTTGGCGTATCTTTGAAAGATATATTTTTTGATGACATCCGTGTCCGCAGGTTGCCTGCACACACAAAGAGAGTCTTTCCACCTAGGAATCGTAACTCCTTCAAAGAGGGTCCCCTTTATAAGGAGGTGAAAATCCCTTGGATTTTTTGTTGTGGGATAAATCATACTAGAAACTCATCATTTTTCTAGTTTTTTCATTTCAATGAGTGAAATTCAAGAATCAATTTCTCATTCACCCGTTTTCCGTTTTGAGTGTACCACATATCGAATTGTAGCCCTTAACAAGGGGAATCTGAAACCACTTTGACCTGATCCAAATTGGAAGTAGACCCCACTCAAATTACTACCCTAAATTGACCATCTCATGCAATTTTAACACATTTTTCCAATAATCCTCCACAAGAATGAAAATTGATTTTTGAGACTTAAAAAGACAAGAAGATAGAAGGACACATTGTGTTCATTGGATGATCCCTGCATACGGAGAGGTAGGTTTTATCCTTTGAACCTTCTACTGTAAAGACATGTTTATTTATTGGTTGTCTAGTAAACTCAATGTCCTTGAACTATAATGTTGTCGTGTAAACATCGACTTATCTTTACACATCAACCTTCCAACTTTGTTCTGTTCTCATGGGTGTGCCCGTTTTGGCCACATGCCATTCTCCTTTGAAGCTCTTCTCTCTCACATAGGTGATTCTTTCACGAGTATCCCACATACTCTTCCAATGTTATCACACAGATCAACATTTCAGAATCATTAAAGCAAGCATTTTTGCTAACCTCGTGCGGGAGTCACTGTTCCAACGAGGAATGGGTAGGAATCCGAAACCCCCACAATGACCATCCATCGCTCTATGATTTAGTTTCCCCTTTTGAACCTAGGACCAACTAGGTTGGGTGTCGACTATATAACTTTTCATTTCATGGGCTTTGGTCCCATTCCTATCTACATTTCTCCAACAATTCTCTATCTACATCTTTGGTTAGCGGATCCGTTATGTTATCCTTTGATTTCACGTAATAAACCGTGATAACACCCGTTGTGAGGAGTTGTTTAATGGTGTTATGACTATGATGAGCGTATCTAGACTTATCATTATAGATGTTACTTTGTACTATTCCAATTGCCGCTTGCCAATTACAATGTATGCGTATTGGAGGGATAAACTTTTCCCAACTTGGAATATCCTCAAGAAAATATCGTAGTCATTTTGCCTCTTCAGTGCGCTTATCCAAGGCTATCAGCTCAGACTCCATCGTGGATCTAGCTATTATCTTTTGTTTGGAGGATTTCCATGACACGACTGCACCTCCCAAATTGATAACATATCCACTTGTGTACTTTGAG